ACTAACGTGAGAGCTCGTTTGTGAGTTTTAATAGCGTAACATACTTTCTTGTACACCAACTCTTTGTTGATTTTCTCTGAGTTTGTCAGTGAATAACCGGTGCCCATGGAATACTTGAAACGATGTCTACGATAATGTTCAACAATATTTAAACAGAAGTATAAAATTTAATAATCAACAAGCTCCTCTAGTTTCGTTGTATTCTTGCTATTGTTTTATGATTAAAAATGGAAATGGTGATGATTACCCAGCAAGGGAAAGAAGGCCGCAAACGTGTTGCACCATGTAGAGCAGAATCGTGTCGGTTGCGATGAAAACGCACATCGTACTCAGCATGCATATCATAGTGTACAACATGATGAAATAGTAATAATCATCGTTATTTTCGATAAAATAATAGCCCGGATACAGCTCGACTCTTGGCCGTGACTCGTTTAGGGGTGCGAATACGTCCAACACGCGCGGTATGAGGGGAAGGCAAAAAAACACGACCGAACAAAAATATATGTTCGCTGGAACATTAACGCGGAAAGTTTCCGTTTTAAACAATAGTTTTAAAAAATATATTATACATGTACATATAACACAGTTGATTAATGCTTTGCGTTCTTACTTGTATATACATACGTGTAAAACGCTCCCCTGTCCGCGTACTCCTTCATAATGTTGTCCTCTTCCTCGGTTTTCTCATCTTGCCAATCTTTTACCATATTGATAAATAATTCCTTAAACTATAAATATTGAAATATAAAACACTTAATTTTATTATTACACATTTTCCAACAAACAAGTAACAAGATTAAGAACTGTTCGTGCTATTTCTTTTCCCGATTTGTTTAGATGTCTCACCTTATCGGTGTTAATTATATAATTAATGAACTTCACGTACGATGCGACCGCTACCATTAGGAACGGTATCTGTTCCACTATAGTGCCGATGCTGAAGTACACTACGATTTGACCGGTCTAAAATCAAAACCAAATCGATCAATCATTTAGAGTGCTGTCGTATAAGTATGATAGACGGACGCGGTATCAATTGATGCAATGATCAATTAATTCTATAATTCTTCGCAATAAAATTAACGCACCTGCGTGACCAGCGCCGATATTACGAGAAAATGTATGTAAGCGCTAGAAATGAACTTGTGTGATTTCGTTAGGAACGGCCACGTACCGGCAATTCTCCCATACCCTCTGGTCACGTTAAAATATTGTGTCACGAATTTTTCAAAATTCATATTTGACACGAATTATGTTAAATTTCATTCGAGTTTCCCGCGGCCGACGATTTTAAGGATCACCTCCGGCTCGCTTATACTTTGAAACTCGCGCAGCAATAGTGTTCGCGGAAATGGAGAAATTGGCGATTGAACATTTTTGTTCATGTCCATCATCGTATAATTTCAGTAATATCGGTAGGTACTTTTCTGGTTATACGCAAGGTTGTCTGATTAATGAATAAAACAAGCTAATCGAGCTGCGTGCAATTTCAGTCTCGTGTCTTTACGGTTACCGTCTTGTTACGATATTTAAGAGACGCTATGCGCTTCAATTTAATTTCACATAATTATTCACATCGTTACGGAGTTTAAAGGGTAATTCGTATCATGTGAATCCGCGTATGGCATCTGAAAAATTAATGGGAGCAGATTAGAGCAACCATTTCGGTATCGATTCTATCGTGTACGACACGACTCCTTTGCAGAATGTACGAATTGCTGCATTAAAACGAAGTACCAAAGATTATTAGACATCATGTCTTGTACTATGAAGAAGTATTGAATTCATGGGAAAAATGCAGAAGGTTCTTGA